GCAGTAAGCATGCCTTTGTAATTTAAAACAAGGTTTTTTTTTTTCTGATGTGATCAAATTTAGAATTATGTGTTTATTTGTTTGTTTTGAGACAGGGTTTCTTCACGTAGCCCTGGCTGTCCTGAGACTCACTCTGTAGACCAGGCTGGCCCTGAACTCACAGAGACCCACCTGCCTCTGTCTCTGAAGTACTGGGATTAAAGGGATGCTATACCCAAGTGGATTTAAAAAAAAAAATGTCTTGCATGGGACAAGCTTCTTTTTACAAGATCTTGTAAAAGTTTGTCTTTCCTCAGTACACGCCCTTGTACGACCATGAATAAGCCCTTCCACGGAACCAAGAACATCTCTAGCCATCCTGAGCAGACTTGCTCAGGATGCGAGGGTCTGGATGGAATGGCTCTTCTTCTTCATCTTTCCTTGGTTTTTTGTCTCATCTAGAGCAACCCAAGAGCTTTCAGAAGGAGGAAGGACAGCACTGGAGACCATAGAGGCCTTGTGGGAAGAGGGAAGGGCAGACAGGGGACACCTGAATGGGCCAGCAAGGCCAGGAGATAAAATTGCATCAGTTTGATGAGTATCTCTTCCCAGAAAAGGACCTGAGTGGCAGGGAGAAGCATGAGGTATTTCATGGTAAAATAAACACAGGCAAGGAAGAAAAAAAAAAGCCAGAGAAAGGAACAATCAAATTTGTAAGATGTGTTAGCCTCTGCAGCTGTGACAAAATCCCTTTTCCATTGAAAAGGAAGAAAGGTTTGGTTTGGTTTGGGGATTCATGGTCTCAGAGTCTTCAGTCCATGGTCTCTTAGTCCCATTGCTTTGGGCCCATAGACAGAATAAGCCTATGGGGTTCCAATAGCCCCCTCAAGGATCCCCCACTGTGACCTAATTTCCTTCCACCAGTCCCCATCTGCCAGAGATTCCACTGTCTCCCAATCATTCTCACTGTGAAATACATTAAGAGAGTGGTCAGCTCTGGAAAGAGGCTGACACATAATTACCTGTCTCTCCCCAATTGGCCACTCTATTTATTATTATATTTAGCATTTGGTGCTGTGACCTGGAAAAAGAGGCTAACTCTAACCTCTCTTGCCCCCCACCCTCACTGTCTTCGCTTTCCTCTGGACTTTTTGGCTCATGGGGTAATTATGCGTCAGCTTCCTTTCTCGGGCCCACCACTGGCATACGATTATTATTATTATATGTAACACTCACAGACTGATAAACAAGATAGACTCATGGCCTTTGATGGACATTTAAACTCCACATTGCAAATTGCAACACAAGGCACATTAGATCCAAGAGTGAGGGCGGAAGCTAAAAAGTATGCCCAAATTGTCTATATTTTGCTCACAGGAGGGGCACAGATTAAGCTGTAGGGAGCTTCAGGCCCTGGCATATTGGACAAGAAAAGAAATCCAGTTAGGAACCCTCCACACAGTGTCCATGTGATCTGTTCTCACCAAGGGCCCGGGAAACACATACTGGTTCAGGACACGAGGCCGAGAGAAACCTTTGCCCTGACCATGTTTTCAGATTAGCACCCTTTCTTATTCAGCATGAACCCAGGGTGTGATAGTAAAATGCATCACACCAAAAGCAGCTTCATGGAGTTCTTGGAGGGAAGAGTGTTCGGAAAAGTCAACATTTTAGATAAAGTCAAAGGGAATTTATTCAGAAAGCCATGTAAGCTGCTGCATTTTTTAAAGCTTAGTTTCCTAACAGTACTACAGTCACAGAGAGGTCTTAGGGAATATACTTATTCTGTGTCTTATTTGGGATTAGCAGAATTAGGAGCGTTATAAGGGACTTGCGTTGGCAAGCCCCTGTTCTACACAAAGACTCGAGGGAAAGCGAGGCAATATCAGGGTCACACGGAGCCGAGACTACAATGAATATTTCTTGCAGCCCAGCCCAGTGCATTTTACATCAAGGGATGCTTGGAAAGCCTGAGTTTGAACTCAAGCTTTCAGAGGTCATTAGCATCATGCTGCTTGTCAAAATGCTTGCTTTCAGGCAGTCAGCTGTATGCAGACTTCTGAGTGCAGACTGGAGCTGTTTCCCTGGGAGGAGGTCATTATGGTTTACCTGTTGATTTCCCAGAGATCAATTTTCCCCGCAACAGCCTTATTGTTCTAGTATCAGCATGCCTTTAGGGTCTTGTTCACAAACATGGTTTTTGTTGTTGTCGGTGCAGTCGTGTGGACAGATGTGAGGGCATTTGCTCTTCACAGGGTTTGGCAAAAGCAGAACATATTCTTTTAAATGGTCTTTTCCTCGATGAAAGAATGCTTTCCGTCCACGTTTCTCTATTGGACAACTCAGGTGGTATGTCTGCTGCTAAAAACAAACAAACAAACAAACAAACAAAAAAGCAGTGCAGAACTCGGTGGTGGTTGCATTTAATCCCAATACATTGGAGGTAGAAATTGGCAGATCTCTGAGTTTGAGACCAGCCTGGTCTACAGAGTAAGTTTCAGGACAGCTAGGGCTACACAGAGATACCCCATTTCTAGAACAAACAAACACACAAAAAAGGGGGCAGAGCAGAAAGAAATCAGACAATATTACTACTTTATCCTTTTCAGAAAAACAAAATCATTCATTTCTGAGCTTAGACAGAAAGCCAGACAAAAAGCAGGAAATACCAAATCATCTCAGACAGAGTACTTTTGTTTTGGATTATTTATTTTCCAAGTGCACATTTGGAAAAAGACTTAGGTAACGTGCCTTTGCATGATCCAAATGGAAGCAGACATCCAGAGCTTGTGAAACGCCATTAGGATGTAGGGTGGTCTTTATTCCCTGCGAACTGCCGCCTGCTCTGAGTTGGTTTCTTTGCTGGTGACTTTGATCTCCAAAGCAGCAGATTAAGACAGGGTAGACATTTTGCTTCCTTCTGCCTCTGTCTTCTCAGTTCTAAAAGCTGTGCCTCGTGTATCCCCAAGGATAGGAAAGCCATTTCCCAGCAAACAGATGCCTCTTCCATTGTCCACAGCAATAATCCAGGGCGTGATGAGAGACTGTGTGGGGCTTGGACAGACTGTGTCCTGACACTTGATTGAATGCCAGTATCTGCTCTCAGTTGCTCTTTTTACTTCACAGACTCTGCAGACGCCGCATTCTCATCCTATGCCCACCTCCATAAAACATTCCCGAGGGTCCGTCAGGGAGCAGGGAGCATCTACATCCTCAGACTATCGCGTGGACACTAAGAAACACGTTTATAAGTGGGGTGTGTGTGTGCGCGCGCGTGTGTGTGCGTGTGCGCCTGCATGTGGAGGCCAGATGACAACCTCAGGTGACAAGCTCTGAGTTGTGCTTTTTCACAGTGTCCCTTACGAGCCCAGTGAGCTAGGCTGACTGGCTAGGAAGCCCTGAGTCTATCTGCCTGTCTCCCCCTTCATAATGCTGTGATTATAAGTATGTGCCCCATGACTGGCTTTTATGTGGATATCAGACCAAGACCTTCATGCTTGCAAGGCAAGAACTTGACCAAATGAGCCCTCGTTTTGTCTGCCAAGCCCTGATCTTAGTGTTCTTGAAGGAAATTTGTGTATATACATAATTGATATGATAAGGTAAAATATTATTATATATTAGTCACTCAAATTAATTACAATTTGCATGATTAATGTGCATGGTATTTTTACTAAGATTTTTATAGCAACTCCAAATTCTTACACACAATTTGTATTATTTGGAAATATTCATTATTTTATTTTATTTTTTAAAAAATTGTCGAAGGCCTAGTGTGTGATAAATTCTGTATCTCACAAAATCATAGCCACTTCTAATATTTTATTTAATTTTACAGGCAACATGATAAACATAATAATCCATTTTAAATGCTGAAGTGTACAAGTTGCCTTGCTACAATAAAACTGATGTGTACAAAAAAGAAAAAAAAAGAAAAGATGACTTTGTATAATGATTACAACTCTATGAAAATGTAGGTCTGGTATAGAGCAAAGGAAATGACAGCTGTATTGTGTTAGATTCGAGAAACTGTTAGAATCCCATCCCTCAAACAAAATAAAACAAAAAAAAAACAACAACAAAAAACCAGAAATCTTAAGGAAGGGCGGGGAAAGTCGCTCAATTGGTGAAGTGCTTGCCTTGTATGCAGGAAGCCCTGGGTTCAGTCTCCAGCATTGCCTGAAACCAAGTGTGGTGGTACAAGCTGGCGATCCCAGCACCCAAGAGGAAGTGGTCAGACATGCAAGTTCATCCTCTGTGTGTTCCAAGAAGAACCTGGGCTAAATGAAACCCCTTCTCAGTAAAAACAAACACCAGCACCGAAACACATGGCCTGGGAGATAGCTCCTGAGAACTGGAGGTTGTCCCCAGGACTGGGAAGACAGAGGTTCGCGGTCCAGCCCAACCTTGGTTAAGCTGCAGGCTCAGGAGAGATGAGAGACCCTGTTTCGAAACAAAAATGTGGAGCTCGCCTTAAGACTAGCACCTGAAATTACCCTATGACCTCCATGTATAGCTGAACATGCATAGATACCAGCACATAACATTCATACGTGTACACACACACACACACACAAAATCAAAGACATGGGGTGGGGGCGTTCAAGACAGGTTTTCTATGTGTAAGAGTCCTGGAACTTGCTCTGTAGACTAGGCGGGCCTTGAACTCACAGAGATTCACCTGTCTCTGCCTCCCAAGTGCTGGGATCAAAAGTGTGTGCCACCGCCACGCGGCCAAAGACCAGATTTTTTTTTTTTACAAAACTATTAAAAAATAAGAATAAAGCTGAATTAAAACATGTATTGTAACTTAAACTAGGCAAAACAAATCTGAGTGGCTCAGATTATCTGAATTTCCCCTTCTATTTGTCGATGCTTGAGGAATGAATTTGCTCAAGTCGTAGAATTCCAGGTGTTCCTGGATTTGGAGTGATCTGATTTTCACTGAGCCTTGTCTGGCGTGTTTCTGGACACAAGCAAAAGCACAACTGATCGCTCTGTTCTCTTCGCATTCCTCCCAGGAATTTTCTGCACCATCTCGCTCTGCACGTACGCTGCCAGCATCTCCTATGATTTGAACCGGGTCCCGAAGCTAATTTACAGCCTGCCTCACGATGTGGAACACGGCTACAGCTGGTCTATCTTCTGTGCCTGGTGCAGTTTAGGCTTCATTGTGGCAGCTGGAGGTCTCTGCATCGCTTATCCGTTTATTAGCCGGACCAAGATTGCACATCTAAAGTCTGGCCGGGACTCCACGGTATAACTGTCTGTACGCGAGAAGGCCCAGCTACCGAGTGGGGTCGGTCACTCCTAATGGGAGTGGAACTGAGTTCACACCAGGGTTCCAAGCACAAAGAGGTCTTTTACATTCCAACCTGTTGCCTGCAGCCCTTTCCAGATGACTGATAGAAAATCATGCAGAACCTCCCAACCTCTCTGAGGGCAAGACTCCTGTGGGTTCAAGTGCTTTAATGACTATTTATGCTTTGACTGTACGAAAGGAGGAATGGTGCCACGGGACATTTATAGGCATCAGAAGAGAGGAAGGGTGATGGAAAAATTTGTACGATTTCCATTTATTTCAGAAAGTTTGTATATAACAATCTCCGGAGAGTCGTTTCTATTTGCAAAAGGATTCGTAACAAAACAAGTATAATTTTCTTGTCAGTGTATCAGGCTTGTTCGATTTTAATGCAGCATCTTCAGAAGGTGTCCTAATGGTGTCTTGTGTCAGCACCTGATATTTGTGCATTCTTTGTGGCTGTTTCTTGTCACCAGAGGATTCTTCTTCTTTTGCCTTATTATTACTTTTAATGAATTGAAGTCAACGCGCTGTCTTTCTACTGGATTCAAATGCATAAGAACAATGGTTGTGTAAGAACTGATCCGCAACACTATGCAGTATCGTTTGAAGTCTTGTCTGTTGTTTGGCTTTGTGTCTCTTTATGTTAACTGGGTTTCTGCATTAAATGACTGCCCCCTTGTTATTTTAGGTGTGTTTTTTTTTTCTCTATCTTTTAGCTCGGTCAACAAACCTCCTTAGACAAAGGACAGCCAAGAACTCTGTTTTGTTTTCAATTGTTGTCGTTGTGATTGTTGATTTGATTTGTTTTTTGTTTTTGTTTTTTGTTTTTTTGAGGTCAGATCTTGCTTTGTAGTCTGGCCTGTGGCTCACTGTGTAGCCCAGGCTTGCCTTGAACCTGCAGTCATTCTTCTGTCTGGGTCCTCTGAGTGCTGAGTCCAAACTCTATGAAGCCTACTTGTTTTTATGTTGATTGAGCTGGTCGTTGTTATCTGTCTTTTCGTAGCCATTCTGTGTTTGCTATTGACATAAGATGCCATTTTCAAAACTTTTGAATTTCAAGTTTTAAATTTCACAACGATACTTCGCCACCTGTCTGGTATTCATTCAGTGATGCATGTGGTCTTTGGCCTCCCACACCTGCACATCAAGAACACCTGGAAAGTTCTTCAGCAACAGTTAACTCAAGGTCCACAGGTGAGCATACACTTGGATTTTAAGACAAGCGAAAAAAGACCAAAAGAAGAAGAAAGAAAGAAAGAAACACAGATGATCCTGATGCACATCTGTGCGCATCTGGGACTGACCACGAGGGGCAGAATGCGACTTACTCCTAAGCTACCAACTGAGCTAGCTAACTTAATTAGCACTGATCTTGAGAGCCCAGGTGGGCTGTGCGTTTTTTCCCAGATGTTACTTTACCCGGTCCTCCTCAAAGCTCTAGCAGGCAGGGACTCTCCCAGGGAAGCCGAGGGCCAGAGTAGGAACATTTACTTCACTTTTTTCCCCTTTTAAAATCATCATCCCAGGAGGGGTGGGCACCAACGCCTAAGCTTTTCCCTGCAGCTCAGCACCAGCTCCTATCTGATGTGACAGGTATTGGAAGGTTCTATAAGTAAGGGGAGATGCTACACCCTCAATGAGATATTGTTTCACATTTTAATTTCACTGGAAGAACGTCATTCTTTAAAACCCCAATTTAGTGGCTGGAGATAGACCTCAGTTGTAGAGTGCTTGCCTAGCATGTCAAAGACCTGGGTTCAATCCCCATCGCTTCATAAACTGGGTCTGCTGCCACATGCCTGTAATCCCAGAATTTGGGGAGAGGTCAGAGGATTAGAAATTCAAGGTCTTGTTTGGCTACTATAAAGTGAGTTTGGCTACCTTGAGACCCTGTCTCAATACCTAATGAATTCAGTTATTTAGAAAAGAAAAACAGTAGTTACTCCCAAAGAGAATAGAGTTTATTTCCAACCGCCAGTGCCCACACACCACCCTGAAAGCTGTTGGGAGGAGGCAGATACCAGAGGGCCCTCAAATGCTCCCCTGAGGGTTCACGCACCCCCCCAGGCCCCAGGCACATTCTTAGTCCTCCACCCTATTTAACAACCCAGTCTCTCTAGATAAAATCAGACACCTCTAGAAAGGGGCAATTATTTTCATTTATTACTTATGAGGGAAAGTCTCAAAGCAGGAGAACACTTTCTTTGAAGTCTGTTTTGAAAGGTCCCCTGTAGAAGATGTCGGGACTCCTGAACATCTATATTCTACCCACCAGCGCAGTGTCTGAGTGAGTTCCCTTTGAAGTTTCAGAGACTCTTCCTAGAGGTTTGAGGTGAGAGCGGAAGAAAGCTTCTCCGTGGCAGAAGGTGGAAAGGCTTACACACCAGACAGTTTCCTAGGAAGCTGGGGGAGTTGACAGAATTTAAACGGAAGCTGGCAAGAGTTTTCTGATTCTGGGGCCTGGGAACATGGGGAAGGAGCACGGCCAAGATTTGCTTTACTTCTGTGTACTGTCCGGGGAGCGATCGAATGTTGTCAATATCGGGCATTTGGCCCCCATCTTGGGGGCCTCCTAAAGGTGTTTCTTTAACTGGTATTTGAACAAGACCAGTTGATATAGCTGAGCGGAACTGTGTGTGGGATGAAAATGTCTTGATATTCTAGGGTCGTTCTCTGCCCTGCTTTTCACTGCCTGCACATGGCGAGACTTCTTCTTTGCCTCGGGGGATTTTGATGGGCTGTAAGTAGAGGTAGCTATGCTCACTGAAGTGAGGAGACAGCCGCTCTGGTGGTGGGAGAGTCACGGGAGGAACTTCCTTGACTGGGAGAGCCCAGGGGCAGCCCAGAGACAGCAAAGGGAAGAAGATGACCGCGTGGTTATCTGTACCCACCCTGCACTATCAGAGTGTCCAGGGATACTGGGACTCTCGGTATAAACCCTCCCATAACCAAAAGCAGATTCCAAGGCCTGGGGAGAGCCAAGCCTTGGTCAGGGACCCCTCAGCAGTGGCTGGTTAACCTTAGAAAGTCTAGGGACATTGACCCATCTGTGTTTATGTCTCTTCAGTAGTGACCCAAAAAGGTCCCCATCTCCCCCACCCCCTCCCCAGTCTCTGAATGATGAGTGGATTTACAGAGCATCTGAGATTGAAGGCCGAAAAAAAATCTCATCTACCTGCCGCAAAGAGATAACGTTTAGCGAAGCAGGCTTTAGCCAAAGCACCAAGGAGAGTCAAGGGTCCACATCGGCCCACTTTTGAACGGTCCTGTCTGTGGTTTACTTGGTTTGTGAGAACCTTGACCCCCCACTCTGAGGAAGCACTGCCTCTTTCTTTCTTTGGACCCCCCAGGAGTTCTTGAGGGTCAAGATTATCAGACATACTATCCGCTATAAAATGAATTCAATATTTCAGCAAATATTTCCGGAATGCCTAACACGAGCCAAGTGCTCTGCTGGGTGCATGGGAACCAATGCAGCCGGACACATGAGGCTCCTGCCCGTGCAAAGCTTGTGCAGCAATAAAATGAAGTAAGGTACAGGTAGACAAATAAATGTCTCCTTTCCAACCCCAAATTGCATATATACAGAATTAAAATAATTTGACAGCTGTTGCCACAAGATTGGTGTCTTGGGTGACCATCTCACGGTGGTCAGTGTGCATTTCCCTTCGTTTTGTTCTTACAGCTCACATGACAGTTTTGGAGGTGGGGAGGTGCCTTTTTGAGGATCTCCCAGTTGAAACTGAAATCAGAGTGATAACAGGGTCTGAAACAGGTGAACTAAACGGGGCTGAAGAGATACTGGGGTCCCGAGGACAGGTAACAGAAGGCCCATGTGCTCCAGGGACAGTGATGAGGGCCGAGTGCCAGGGGTGCTCCGTGCCTGGATGCTGCCTCTAGGTGCCTGGGGCTGGTCCTCCTGCTGGGAACACAAACCAAATCACAACCATCCTAGATGCCGTCTTTGTACCGGTTGCGATGCCATAACCCTTCTCCTCCCCCTTTCTTCTCCACAAGCTGATTGCATGCAAACCAGCATTAGACTCTTGCAAGGGGCCAGCTGTCTTGTTCCTGTTTTGTCTCCACTGCCTTCTGACTGGTGCACAGGAGGCTCTCTTAAATCTCTGTAGAATCAATGCATGAATTTAGAGTTACAGATATAAACTCTCCTTCCCTAGACATCCCTGACTCCCTTGACACCCATTTTAGGGAAGCTGTTAAAAATAGACAGTGTATGATGAGGCCAAATGGAAGGAAAATATATCTTGGCAAGCCAGGAAGGCTCATTAGGATAATTAAAGGGACTATTAACCCAGACTAACCTGGATATAACTTGCATGTGTTATGAACAAAGCAGGATGGGACATTTATTTGATGGCTCAAACATTATTAAGTTAGTAACTTCAATATGATTCTACACATCAATTTAAACCTTCCCATTTTATGTGCGGGCATTTTACATCTCTAATTGGAATTCTGAGAGGGTTGCTTCAGAAATAATTTCTTTTGAATGCAAATGGCTATACTGACCAAGAGCTCTTTTAAATTGCATTTGTATTTCTCCAGAGCTTTGTCCTTTGACCAGAAGGAGTGGGAGTTCTCTGTTCTGCAGAACAACCACAAATGCTTGAAGATGCTTAGGGTACCCAACTGCATCCTGGGAATATGGCTATTCAATATATTTCCTCTTTGTATGCAACCTATATTTTCACAAACCTTCAAAGCAAGCTTTTTAATTGTTCTCAACTGTTCCATCGGAGTGTGTCCGCCTGGAGCGCCTGTAAGAGGAAAACAAATTGGTTACCTATAAATTAAGATTCTTTCTTTGTGTGTTTGTGCGTGCATATGTACATATCACATGCATGGGCATGGGCACACGCCTCCATGTGCATGCAAGAAAAAGCCAGAGGACGACATTGAACATTTTCCTTTATCACTGTCTTCCTATTCCCTTGAGGTTTCTCCCTGAACCTGAAGCTCATTTAAGCTCCTGGAATCTGCTTGTCTCGACCCTCCAAGGCTGGGTTACGGTTGTGTGAGGCCATGTCTGGGTACCCGGGGCTCAAAATTGGGTCTCCATCCTGCACAGCAAAACCTCTTACCCACTGAGTCATCCCCCCCAGATCCCTTCATCTTTATTGCCTCTGTGTGTGTGTCTGTGTATCTGTGTGTGTGTCTGTGTGTATCTCTGTGTGTGTCTGTGTGTGTGCATGTGTCTGTGTGTATCTGTATGTGTGTCTGTGTGTGTCTGTGTATCTCTGTGTGTGTATCTGTGTGTGTCTGTGTGTGTGTCTGTGTATCTGTGTGTGTGTCTGTGTATCTCTGTGTGTGTGTATCTGTGTGTGTGTTTGTGTCTGTGTATCTGTGTGTGTGTCTGTGTGTGCTCTCTTTGCCTCCTTCAGCACTCATTGTTAGAACAGTGCCCACATGCTTGGACTCCCATTGTTCTTTGGATCTCTAAGCGAATGAGCTGCAGGTAGGAAACAGCAGGTCAAAGGTCTGGAGAAGAGAAAACAAAGGGGCAGTGGCAGAGCTGAGGTCCAGAGGTCAGCAGAGTCTTGCTGGCTGCCATTAGTCGGATGCAGCACTTTGTTTTGGCAGTGGGAAGCAATTAAAGGGCTCAACGAAGGAGAAGGATTTGTTCTTGTTTCCATTTTAGGAATATTCGTATTGCAGCTGGCT